ACAACTGTTCTCATTCCAAATAAATGACTTAAACAGCTTTTGGGATTTTTGGCTTATAAAAATCTATTTCACCCTGGCTGGTTTGGCTCAGCGGTTAGAGCGTCGGCCTGCGGTCTGGAGAGACCCGGGTTCAGTTCCCGCTAAGGGCATGTACCTCGGTTGCAGTTCGTCCCTGGCCCTGGTTGGGTCGTGTGGGTGGCGACCACTTGATGTGTCCCTTTCACATCGATGTTTCTCTCTCTCTCTCTCTCTCCCTCCCACTCTATCTGAACAAAATATCAAAAAATGTCCTCAGGGAGGATTAAAAAAAATCTATTTTAATCAAAATTCAAAAGATTCTTTCCTTATCTGTTTTGCTTTCAATTCTCTTGGCCATTTTCTTACTGTTAGTATTATGTTTGTTTTTGAACTCTCGTGTAAATGTTCAGAGGCTGAAAGGACACATCGGCAGTTTTAAGTCGCCACTTCCCCTTTTCATTATGCTACAAAATATTTTAAGCATTTCAGAAGCCTTCAATTGTTAAGAAATATTTTCAGTACTAGGTACTATGAAATGCTGACAAAGTAATACAAGGTATTTCCAACTTGTGGGGTTTCAGCTGCTGGTTCGGAGCTGGATTTACCATGAAGCTAATGAAGCTTAAGTTTTGCCTCAGCAATTTTGTGTTCGTAATTTTCTAATTTTTCCCCCAAGGCAGTCTGTTGGAATTGTATAAACTTTAGGCCTCCAAAGCCTGGATTTGTCCTGGGTCTTATTAGAAATTACCTGTCTGAAAGCAGTGAGCTGAATCCATCGGGCCATGACTTAGAACACATGCTCAGGATTGCCGGATGGGCCTCCCACCTGACTACTCCATCTGGTTCGTGTTACTTGGCACTTTGTAGCAGGAAAAAGTTTTACTTAGATTTATTACGTCAGTGGCCTCAGAAACATATCAAAATAGCAAAAAAGTCATCTGAAAAGATATGCCAATCTCTGCATTTCAAATAAATGGCTTAAACAACCAGCTGGGCATTTCAGAGTAAAATACTATTCTTATTCATGTGATCTGGGGAAAGTGAGGAGATAACAGAGTAAAGTTAATTTGTCACCTTGAGTTGCATATTATTTTGTCATGATGCTCTGAGAAAAAAATTGTCTGATCTAAAAACAGAATCACTGATGTCACTCACTTGTAAGTTCAACGGATCTGAACAATGTAAGGTAGATGACACTGACTAAATGGCAGATCTCTATCTCACCTTCCTTCTTAGCTTCTGAGTATGTATTCAGTATATACATTATGAGTATGTGAGTCAGACAGATAAAGGCAGAAATGCAGTGACTACACTACCAATGGGCAGACTGTGTTTGTGGCTCGCAGCTGGGGTCAAGTTGAGGTGGGGAAGTTGCTGTGCTGCCAGATACCTTCACTGGACACTGAAAGCACTGTTGGGAGAGGCGGCTTTATGCCAAAGAATGGTGCTCATTTAGCCTTCAGAGTCTGGCAAAATGAATCTGGTCCTTGATGCTCTGTGTGAGGAAGGTGGCAAGGTTTTTTAATGAACTTATTCAAAAGGTTCTCTCTTAAAAACTAAAGCTCTTATGTCCAGCCGGTATGGCTCAGTGGTTGAGCATCGATCCATGCACCAAGAGGTCACCAGTTCGATTCCTGGTCAGGGCACATGCCCAGGCCGTGGGCCCGATCCCTAGTGGGGGGTGTGCAGGAGGCAGCCAATCCATGTTCTCTCATCGATGTTTTTATCTCTCTCTTCCTCTCACTTCCTCTCTCTGTAAAATCAATAAAGGAAAAAACAACAACAACAAACTAAAGCTCTTAAAAAAGTAAAATTTCCTAAGTATCTTTGACCCTTGAAAACCAGCCAACCTATATCCATGGACAAGTGCCAATTTTTATCATCTAGTCATGAAAATTCAACTGTGTATATACAACATCTGAAGTGGTTTTGTGTCCTATGCTGTGCATTGAAAGCATACTTCATGAGGACAAGTCCTAAAACCACACTTGCCTACTAAAGCAGGAGCTTGTGCAATACTCTGCTTGTTTAACTCCACATTCACTATAGATATCTGAGTCCTAGAAAGACAGGACCATCCAGTGAGTCTGAGTCAGTCAGGGGGAAAGAAGCCAGGAGGCATGACTCTCGCCCGTGCCCTTCGCCACGGCCTAAGAGGTCTGTCTACCAGAAGCCACGGGGGAGAACCTGCGGGAAAGCAGCAGCAGTGACAGTGCAGGAGTCGCAGTTTCTTCAGGGGGGCCCTGCCTCCTGCTCCGGGGGCAGCGAACCCTCTGCAGCACAGCGTTGACGTGGCCAGTGGGCCAACTCCCTGGATGACACAAACCACATGCCAACCTGCGGGACAGTGACATCCCTGATCATAAAAGCACACTGGCCAGAACTGTCCCGCAGCCCAATATACACAACTACTGACACGGGGTCACCGGGAGGGTGCAGGAGGCGGCTGCACAGGAGCCCAGGCCCTTCCTTTTGACAGTATTTTTGGTCTGTAGCATAACTCACACAAAAGGTTACAGAGAGGTTTGCCAGAGAGAACTTCATGGAGATAACTGTGCCAGGGGAAATACCTGTCATGTGGCAGTTTACCTGCGCAGAGAAAGGAGGCTGCAAAGACCACCAGCTTACTCCAGCTGCCTCTCCACACCACAGGAACACGGGCGCCATTCCTGTCCTTTGCAGGAATGTCACTGAATGGCCTGACATCTTCCAAGGGAGCATGCTGCTAGAAAGCCACATCGAGTCTGGTTGCTACAGCAACACAGTATCCAGTTATGTGCTGTGAGACCACAGCAGGAAGCAGACACTCTCCTGAAGGGAGCCTACCTGACGGGGCAGTCTGGTACCAGGGTCCGTGTCCTGGTCAGCACAGGCTGCTCTGACCGTAGACTGTGTGGATTAAACAACACATATTTATTTCTCAGTTCTGGAGGCTGGGAGTTCATGATCACAGAGGCAACATGGTTGGATTCTTGGTGAGGACCCTCTTCCTGGCTTGCAGACAGTTGCCATCTTGCTGTGTCCTCACACCAGAGAGAGAGAGAGCCAGCTCTCTGGCCCCTTCTTTTCAGGGCACTAATCCCATCAGAAGGGTTCCAGTCTTGTGACCTCGTCTAAATCTAATTACCTCCCAATTCACATGTTAAAACCTAATCCCCATCAGCTAATAGGGGTATTAGTAATAATATTAGTAGGTGGAGCCTTTGAGAGGTGACTGGGTCACGAGGGCAGAGTCCTCAGGAATGGGACTGCTATCCTTATGAAAGGGGTCTCAGAGAGCTCTCTCGCCCCTTGTTCCAGGTGAGAGCGGAGCAAAAAGACAGCTGTCAAAGAAGTGAACGTGCACCAGATGCAAAATCTGCAGGTGTCTTAATCTTGGACTTCCCAGACTCCAGAACTGTGAGGAATAAATATTTGTTGTTTATAAGCCACCCATTTATGGTATTTTTGTTACAGCAGCACAAATGGACTGAGTCAGGAATCATTCAGTACGAACTCTCTTGTGTAAGGCTTCTGTCACTCAGTATAATGTTTTGAGACTCACCCAAATGTATATTCATCAGTTCGTTCCTTTTTATTACTGGGTAGTATTCCATTGTATGACTATACCACAGTATGTATCTTCATTCTCTTATTGAAGGACACTCAGGCTCCCAGTTTTAGACTATTATGAATATATCTACTAAGAACAATTTGGAACAAATCTTTTGTGGGCACTGTTTTCATTTCCCTTTGGTAAATAGGAAGATAATTGCTGGGTCATGGGATAGATGTATGAGTGTTTATGCTATACTCCCGCCAACAATGGAGCAGAGTGTAGTTGCTCCACATCCTCACCCACATTTGGGTTTGTGAATCTTTCTAATTTTTGTTATTCTGATGGGTGTGAGGTGACTCAAGCTGCTATTTTGGCAAATGTTCCAAATTAACAACAACAACAAAAATAGGGATCAGGTTTGAGAGAATAAGAAAGGGCTAAAAGCATATTGAAGAAGCAGCCAGACATATTCTTCAGTTCATAATGTTCTCCATTATATTATAATATTAGATTTAATGCTCAGAAAACAGCAGCATTTACTGACAGGGAGACAGAAACTCTGTTTCCCCCCAGAGCTGGTCTGGTGTGGACCACAACGTGCTTCCCTAATTTGCTTCCTCGTGGTCATAGCCCCTGGAGCACCATCCTCACAGATCTGACCCAGCCTGAATAATGGGGCCAGGAATCTCCCAGACAATTGGGAAGGACTCCCTGCTTCTCCCTCCCTCTTTCTAATACCAACCCTGGACCTAAGGGAAGGGAATTAACATTTTGGGGTTATCAACACTGTGCCAGGACCTATCCTAGGGACTGTGACTACCTTGTCCTTGAATCCTCACACCACCACCCCATCAAGTGAGGTATTGATAGCTTCATGTGATAGATGTGAAACCAAGACTCAGAGGTGTTGTAACTTGTCCAGGTTACACAGTTTAGAAGAATCAAGATTTAACTAAATCCTGTGCTCTTTCCACTGTGCTTTGCTAAGCACCCAGAAAGCAAATTGGAGGGGGCTATAAGCTCAGTTGGTGCAAAGGCCAGTAGTAGAAGAGGGCTGCATGTCTCTTAGTCCAATTTATCCCTCCTTTTTCATTCTTTTCTGTTTCTGCTTTCTAGTGTGTTTGTGTTGAAGGAAGGGCTGTTCCATCTTTCAGAATATACGGATGTAAATAAGCTTTAGCCCTCCTCTCTGCAGCTGCAACTATTTTTCAGGGCTTGGGTTTTTCTCCTGCAGGGAGGAATCATTAGCTTGTCACTTTTCTTCTTCCCTTTCCCTCCCTCTTCGGCTTCTCAGGGCCTGATATGATTAGGACTTGGTACGGAGGACACGAGGCCTCACTGATGCCTCATGCTCTCTGGTCCTCTTCTTCCTCGCTCCCTTCTGCCTCTGTGGGAAGGGAGGTAATTGTGTTCATCATGTGTTTCTCTAAACCCAGTTAGTTACCTGTTCCTGAAAAGCACTAGCTTGCTCCTCAAATCCTGCTGTTCGGAAGTAATTGACGACATCCACCACGGCCCAGTCTGCAGGATCAGGTGGTCTCCCATTCTCCAGGGAACTGCAAAACACAAATCCAGACTGTTGTCACGGCAGAGCATGCCCATACGGCAGCCAGGCTCAGGCAGTCTCTCCATGGCAGGCCCGGCCAGCCTGCTGGGACCATGGCCCTCTCTTCCCTGGAGGCCTGGATCCCAATTTACTTCCCTCAGGACTTAGTCATTCTTGGGTTTCTTGGGTTCAGAAGATCATCACTCTCATTGGCTCAGTCACTGCTTTCCTAATAAACCATTCGACCTTTAATATAAAGTATTTCCTCATGTACTGTTTTTTGTTTGTTTGTTTTGTTTTTTTATCATCCTCACCGAGGACATTTTTCCATTTTTTTGTTCAGGTAGAGTAGGAGGGAGAGAGAGGAACAGAGAGAGAGAGAAACATCGATGTGAAAGGGACACATCGAGTGGTTGCCACCGCACAACCAACCAGGGCCGGGGACAAACTGCAACCGAGGTACACGCCCTTAGCAGGAACCGAACCTGGGTCTCTCTGGACCGCAGGTCGACGCTCTAACTGCTGAGCCAAACCGGCCAGGGCTCATGCACTGTTTTTTAATCCAGAGATATTAAGAGTGGCCCAGTGATTTACGATAGCCCGATGCCAGAGTCAAGAACACCGGGCCCTTTACAAAGTAGCCCAACGTACCAGTCTTTTTCCATCTCCTACCATCTTCCTCCTCCCCAGTCCCATCATCCTCTCTGCAGCTGTGACACTGCAAGGCCACGCCATCCCCAAGTCTGCCACGCCCTTTCAGCTCCGGGCCTTACTCCACTGTTCCAGCCACTTCAATGCCCTTCCCATTTGTTTCTACTTGACAAAATCCACCATTCCTACCTACTTTATTCCGGTTCAAATGCCTCTTCCTCTTGGAGGCATTTTCTTGCTCTACCAGGGAATTGTTTTAGTTATAACCTCCCTGCACTCGAGAACTCCGTTCAAACTTCCATTGTAACACTCTCCATGCTGGAGTAGACTCTCTGCTTATCCAGCAGTCTCTCCCACCAGGGCCTGGACCACCTCTCCTTTTATTATTCCTAGGGTCAAGCACACAGTTAGGAACTCAATCAATGCTCAAGAGCCTCAATATGATCAAGCATTTGTCTGCGAGGGTCGGTGGGTAACCTGCTGGGCTGGATTTAGAGAGGAGGGACTGGAGAGGTGGAACAGAGAAAGAACGGCAGGTATCTGCAGTTACTGTGACTCTGCCTCATTTCTGACTTGGGAGTATTTGTCTGGATTTCTCTATACCTCATCCAAGATGATTCTTCCAAAGTGAGCATCCAATTTAAGCACTGCTCCCTGCTTAAAATCCTGCAAGGACTCCCCACTGCCTTTAAGATAAATTCCAAATAGCTTCACTCGGCGTAGGACATCCTTGAGTACAAAGCTCCGGCTAGCTCTCCAGCTAAGAATACACTGGTGAGTAAACACACATGGCGCTTGCTCTGTGGACCTTCAGTTTTATGGGGAAGACAATGAAAAGTAATCATACAACTAAATGTACAGCTGCACACTTTGGTAAGTGCTATGGACCCTTTAAGGGGTTAGGGGAGGCTTTACTGTGGAAGGTTCTTATGAGGTATGGTCTAGAAAGCAGCCAGGAATTAACCAGATGAAAAAGTCAGAAGAAGATTATTCTAGGCCCTTTGATAGGAAGACACACAAGGAAGCCAAGTAGGTCTTGAAGGCCATATTGATGATTCTGGGTTTTTGTGTATAAGCAACAGGGACTTGCTAAATGGTTTTATGCAAAGACTGTGACCTGATCAGTTTCACATTTTGAAGAGTACTGGAGATGAGCCAGACGGGAGACAGGCTGCCAGTAAGAGGCACTGAAGTCATCCAAGCAAGAGATCATGGTGACCAAGACTAGAGTAGTGGCTATGAAAAAGGAGAGAAGTGTGTGGATTTAAGAGATATTTAACCAATAAAATCAGCATGACTTGGTGGTGAACCAGACATTGGGAATGAAGGAAACAGAACTGGATAAATGGTTAATTCACTTGGATAACACCCCCAGAGTTAGTTGGATGCAGTGAATTTGGGGTACCGTCTATATTCAAGTATAGATTTAATGTGGGGCAGAAGTCCGGAGCTCAAAGCAGGTGAGTGGGCTAAAGGTACACATCTGCGAGACAGAAGCATTTAGATGGTAACTGAAGCCGTGGAGAGGATGAGAACAGAATTGGACCTGGAACTAAACCTGGGGATGATCAACATTTAGTGAAAGTTGAGAAAATTCATGTTCCTTTTAACAAAATGAAGTTTCTTAGACTTTGGGAATTTCCTAAAGTTTTCAAACATCCAAAGGTCCAGGGTCTATCTGTACCTCTGCTTCCCTCCTAGCACAAGTGTTGCTCAGAGTAGGAACTTAAAATATTTGATGAAAAAAAACAAAACAAATTTCTGACCTAGCTATAGAAAGGGGAGTCATTAATGGCACTTGTGATCAACGGTTTATCAACAAAGCACTTAATTAAAAAATATTTAGAGTGAATGCTTACTAGTTAGAAGTGTTTTCCATTTGGGGCTTAGGGACTGTGAATCTAAACAATGCATGCCCAAGTACATACACACTCAAGGACATGCATGCTCACGTGCATATGCACGTGCGCGCACACACACACATACACCTGTGCACACGCACACGTGCACCCACACCTGTGCACACACACATCTCCCTACCATTTAACAGGCAATCTACATGGGGAAAAACCTTCTTTACATCCTAACATTGTCAAACATTAATTATGTATTTTGATATCAAAGCTACATGAGTTTTATAAAAATTATACACGTGCTGGGATTTTCTACCATCCCATTAACATAGCCACATGATCTGACACTAGGGACTCTCTCTGAGGTACCACTTTCCTTCTCTCTCTTGCTTAAGGTGAGCTTGAAGAATGTTTGGAATGGAATTCATTGTTCTAACAAACCTCTTAAGTCTTCTAATCAGCTCACTTCTAGCAGTGAGCACAGAGTCCCATCGGATACACTTTTAAGTGCCCTGGAAAACATCTGAATTCACTCTCCCTATGGATGGCTTCAGTTAGCTGCCTTTCCCCATAAAGAATAGTTAACTAACTATAATAACAAAATATGCTACTTTCTAATTTTAGGGTGGGAGGCTTTCCTGATTCTTATTCTGCTGGTATATGACATCACCCCATCCTAGCATGCAGCAGAGAATAAGAACTTGGCAAAACTGCTGGTAGTGTACCATGAACAACAGGAACAATGGGAACTGGGTGCTCTCTCTTAGGGTGAGGAGGTCCATGCAGAAGAAACAAGGGGTTAGAAACCAACTGATGCTTTTAATAAGTGTTCCACCTAAGTTTAAGCCTGATAGCTCCCTCACCCAAAAATAATAACTTAGAAGAGAAATCAAAATGTTGGACTATTCAGATACTGAGAGGAGAAACCTATCTTCATCTCTGTAGTTCTCCAGCACCTAGCACAAGTCTAATGGTGCATAGTCAATAAACAGCAAAGTTCTGTTATGTTAAATGAATGAACAACCAGTGAGTACTTAAGCATCTACAATATGCGCTTTTCCCACATTACTTATTCTCAGCCTCCCAGCTACTTGTGAACTGGCTACTGTATCCTGTTTTTAGAAAACAAGGCTCAGAAAGATGAAGGCACCCGCCCCAAATCACATAGTAGATAAAGCCAAGACTGGGTTCCACATATGCTTGCCTCCAAATTTATGCTTCTCTGCTTTCCACTCGCTGATACAACACCTATTTACTAAGGTCTACTTTCTTCTCAGGACTGTGCTGGATGCAGGGTCACAGAGACAGGAACGTGTTGGTAGGCCCTAGGCAATCTGGTGTGGAGAAACAGATGTGTAAACATTGAACATTAAGTCATACTAGAATTGAGGGGTGAACAGTGCTACTGAGGACGCATGCACTAGAGGGCCCATATAGTTCTTCTCAACTAGGACACATGATGATTTTCAACGGCAGATTTGAAAGGCATTTATTGCTCTAAACACACCTTAAATTAGGCCCTGAGAGGGTGGCTTTCAGGCAGTACATGCCAGCGCACATTGTCACTTTTAGATTATATTAAAGCATGCTGGATGACTTCAATGGGCCCTACCAGAGGTTTCAGCAACAGTTTTAAGGAGAAAACTGGAGACGGTCCAAGGCAATGTGATGGAGGGTTGGAGAGGCCAGAGTGCCGGGCTGGGAAGTTATGAGAACACGGCAGAGGAGGGATTTGAGTATTGTTTCCCCACTGGAAAGCCATACTTCTCCTCAAGGACTGCTGTTTGTGGCCACACTGAGACACTGTTCCCGTCTATCCTCACCCAAGGACATTTTTGCATTTTTTGTTCAGATAGTGGGAGGGAGAGAGAGAAAGAAAGAAACATCGACGTGAAAGGGACACACTGAGTGGCTGCCTCTGGCATGACCCAATCAGGGCCGGGGACAAACTGCAACTGAGGTACGTGCCCTTAGCGGAAACTGAACCCAGGTCTCTCTGGACCGCAGGCCGACGCTCGAACCGCTGAGCCAAACTGGCCAGAGCCTTTGTTCCCTTTTAAATGGGCCACTCTCTCTAAATCTTTTCTTACAACTCATGCATTTCGAATTCTGGAAGGCATGTAATGGTGCTGTTTAAAACACCTCCAGATGGTGGTTCCTATTGTGGCTGCTAATTCTGCACTGATGAAAGAGATGGCAGACTTAAAAGTCCTATTATCATTTAATATTTATTATTCACTATCATCATAGCAAAGTGTTTCTTAGAATACAATGTATTATAATGATCAATTCATGAATATTTTTCCAAGCTTGGAATTTAAAAAAAATATATATTCATTTTACCTTATTATAAAAAATTAGCAAGAAACAAGGGCAGAATTTGTCTACAATCCCATCACTTAATCAAATCAATGTTTCCATTTAACCCAGTCACCTTTGGTCCTTGTGCATATGGTTAGGTACATCATGAATTGATAAAAATTACATCATGCGTGAGTAATTCATA